GCAAATCCTCCATTCTTTCAGAGACTTTATGTTTGCCTTGATGCTTGCAAAAAGGGATTTATAGCTGGGTGCAGGCCAGTGATTGGAGCTGATGGTTGCCATCTTAAAGGAGCTTTTAAAGGTAAATACATTTTTTCTTTTTCTCAACCTTGAATGATTAAAATTTGAAAGCATGATTTCAATTTATTTAAGAAATATACAACATGGTTACAGGTCAACTACTAGCAGCTATTGGCATTGATGCCAATGACAATATGTATCCAATAGCCTATACTGCTGTTGAAATTGAAAATAAAGATACATGGTGCTGGTTTCTACAGATTCTTATTGATGATCTTGGACCAATTCATGAGCATGGGTGGACATTTATATCGGATCAACCAAAAGGTAAACTCCATGTTTCCTTTTAAGTTATGTAAATATAGTGGCTTATTTAATTTTTATTGATGTATCTAGTAAATGTTGCAGGGTTTGGATACCGCTTTTACTACGGTTGTGCCAAAAGCTGACCACAGATGGTGTGTGAGGCATTTGTATGGAAATTTTAAAGCCATTCATAAGGGTAAGACATTAAAAGATTTGTTATGGAGTGCTGCCAGAGCCCCCAACCATGTTGACTTTGAAGCTGAAATGGAGAAGTTGAAGAGCATTGATGGTGAAGCCTATAATTGGTTGGTAAAAAGAGATCCAGATAGGTGGGCTAGGTCTAGATTTAGCACAAGGGTGAAGTGTGACATGCTTCTTAACAACCTGTGTGAAACCTTTAATAGTTAGATACTTGATGCTAGAGATAAACCAATTCTAACCATGTTGGAGATGATACGGTGTAATTTAATGAAGAGGTTATGTGCTAAGAGAACAGAAATAAGTAAACTTCAGAGGAATGTATGTCCTAAGATTCAACACAAGTTAAACAGGGAGAAGTTTGCATCTAGGAATTATTTGGCAACCTATTCAGGAAATTATAAATTCCAAGTTGGGAGTGGTTTGTCTGATTTGTTTGTGGTTGATATTGCTAATAGGACATGTAGTTGTACATGGTGGGAGTTGACCGGGATACCATGCTTGCATGGTTGTGCAGCAATTTGTCGTAATAGACAGGATCCAGAGGATTATGTGGATGAGGTGTACCACAAGGCAACCTATCTGAAAGCTTATGAACCCATGATTCATTCATTGAAAGGATGTAACATGTGGCCTAAGTGCAACATGGACCCCCTTCTACCCCCATTAGTGAAAAAACAACCCGGTAGACCAAAAAAAGCAAGGAAAAAAGATCCTGAAATGGAGAAAAAGGTAAATGATAATAATAGTGATTCTAAGCAAGTTGTGAGTAGGAAGGGAAAGACAATACAATGCCACAAGTGTTGGGGTTGGGGGCATAACCAAAAGTTTTGTAAAAATGAGCCTAGAGATGCCCCACAAGGTGTATATGTTGACAAGAGATGGGCATATTCTAGACCAGAAACTGGCGGCAAGAAAAAAAGACAAAGTAGTGGTTCATCTGCTCAAATGAGTGGTACAAGTACAACTGCTGGAAATGAAGACCAAGTAATGAATCAACATACAACTGTTGTTCAAGTTGATGTTGGAGATGTTGTACATTCAAGCGATGGAGGTCCATCGCCTAAAAAGTCCAAACTCATAGCAAGGAGAAACAACCCTAAGCAAGCCTTGTATTGTGATCCCCATGAAGCTACAAAAGTGAGTTCTTATTTATATTCAATTGACTTATAGTTTGTAATTTTCCCAATGATAAGTGAATAATTTCATTTCATTATGTTACTATCACAGGTTCAAGATAACAGTCAACTAACCGTTACTAGAGGGGTAAGAGGTGCCACATTTACCACAATTCCTAGAGTGGAGATGCCTCAAGGTAGAGTTGGAAGTTCAAATCCTATGACTGGAGTATCTCCTCATCCTCCAACCATTACTGAAGGGGCAAAGGGTGCCACATTTACCACAATTCCTAGAGTGGAGATGCCTCAAAGTAGATTTGGAAGCTCAAGTCCTAAGACTGGATGGCCTCCTCATCCACCAACCACTTCTAAACAAACTGTTGCACCATGGAAACCTCATGGCAAGAGCTTTGTCCACAAAAATCAGAACCTATGGTAGAAGAGAACCTGATAGAGCTTTTATTTTATTTTGGATACATTGGCCTCGTTTGGCACACCGTATAAGACATCGGATAGTACTAATAATACGGAGTACGGTGTTTGGTGTCCAATTGTATTAAATAGCCACCGGATTAAACAATCCGGTCCCACCCACTTTATACGGTAAACACCCGCTTGTTTATCCTCTCCAAAACCACGGGACAATTTAGTCGGGTCCTTCCTCTCCAGACGCAGCCGTGTCTCTGCCCAGCATAGCTGTCCTTCTCGACGGTGATGATGTTGCCTCCCACCTGGTCCTTAGCCTCCGTGACTATGACAATCGGAATGGCGTCGCTGTGCTTGGTAGCCAGCACCTGAGCGATGCAGAGCCCACTGATTCCACCGCCCACCACCACGCAGTCAACAGAGGTGAACATCTTCTTCTTCTTCGTTTCTTCGTTTCCCCTCCTTGTTGTTCTTCCCGCTCTTTCCCACAAATCCCCAAAACCCAATTCCTTTGCCGGCGAACCTGCAAAGCAGAAACTAAAAAAAAAACGATGGAATTTGAAGAAGAAGAAGAAGAATACGGGGAAGAAAGAGATCGAAGGATTGGGAAAAAAATAAAAAAGATAAGGATTGGGAAAAAAGAGAAGGATTGGTGTTCTTCCCGTTTCTTCTTCCTCCTCAATTCTTCCAGCGAACCAGTCATCCTCAGTACTTTTGCTGGGCTACTTTGTAGCTAAAAAAAATAAAAAAGAGAAGGATTGGGAAAAAAACGATGAGAATTTGAAAGGTGGGTTTTGATAGCTTTCTTGTTGCTGCCTTTGTGGTGGGGTTTCATTCAAGGAGCAGACGGGGAGGAAGAAGAAAGGATAGAGAGGGAGGGATTTTGGGGGGTTTGCGGCGGAGAGATCTGGGAACAAAAGAGAGGATTTCTGTTTTTTTTTTAATTTTATTTTAAGTTTGATTCCTCCCGTATAATACCAAACACAATATAAATAATACGGTTATTAGTCCAATACTGCACCAAACGCCCGACTAATTTAGTCAGTACTATCCGGTGGCTATTTATCCTATCCGACAGAAATAGTCAGTACAGTCCGAGCTGCCAAACGAAGCCATTGTGTTTTGATACTTTCATATGTGGGAGTCCCCTGTTTTTTTTTTTTTTTTTTTTTGCTCTTTTGTAATCGGGTCAAGAAAGTTGAATTTCGTAAACGATTGAATGTCTTTTGGTAGTTTGTTGTGCTTAGTGATTGGAACTATGTTTATCAATGGTGATTATAAATCTTTGAGAATCAATGGTCATTCATCCCTTCCGTTCAACGTTCATGAGAAGTGAATAGCAAAACCAAGCGTTTCGCCCACTTCAAGTAATACGTTGGGTTGCAGACCTCAATCTGCTCAACGACTGCGATCTGACCCTTTTCAGGAGGAGGTCGTCTATTTGTCGATATGTTGTTAAAATGGAGAGAGAGATATTATTGTGAAACTATGGTGGGGCTCCTTTGGTTTTGCTGGGTTACCACCCTAACAAAACCTTTCCATCTCATCTGGTTTTGTTCTTAAACTACAAGGTAGAAGAGGAGCAGCATCAATCTAAAATCAAAACGAAAAAAAAATCAAAATCCAAAATGAAAAACCAAATCTAAAATTGAAGGAGAGTGACTATGGAAGGGATGGGACTATGGAAGGGATGGGGATGAAATGACCATCTTATCCTCATATGAGACTATTACTAACGGAGGGATAACAAAAATTTTAATTTTGGGTATAAATCCTAACAGACTTAGACCACAGGGGTTTAAATCCGATTTTTTTTACCACAGGGGTTACTTTTCGAATACCTTATGACCACAAGGACTATTTATCCGATTAGGCCTAAAAGAAAAAAAGGAAAAAAAAAATTCAAGAATTGAAAAAACAATTATTTATATGGTAAGTTAATTTTTTATTATGTTGGAGGGCAGAACACCTAAAATTAAAAGTCGTCAACACAACACTTCAGTGAGATGGCTCGAAAGGAGGAGCAGGCAAAATGGGGCCCAGAAAAATGATACCCCATCCTTCTATGGAGAGATTTTTCCATGTGACAGAAACACAGGATGATACACCACGTGTCACCATACAAATGGTTATATATGTGTGTTAAAAAATTAATAACTTAAATATTAAAATTTTTTACCACTTGTATAAAAACACATAATGTACCACTCGTGTTCCGGACACCAGTAAGAGAGCTCTAACTTTTCAAGTGTTACAAAAGCTTTTCGGAAAATTGCATCTTCGATCCAGATGCTACAAAAGGCTGTCATTTGTAGGGTATTTTCGTTCACATATGGATTAACCGCAAGTGCTTAACTTTGCTAGGGATTTCCTGCGTCACTTGAACAAAGACGAGCCCCCAAGTTGAATTCCTCAGCTACATCCTCCAGAAATACAATTTCTAAAACGCTTTTTCTAAAATCAATACAAACCAACAAACCCTTTTCAAATTCTCCCAAAACGAAACAAGCTTTCAATCTTTTTTTCCATCATATCACAAATTAAGCCTATATAACTTGTAGTTATGCTTATATCATTCTAAAAGTCTCACAATAAAAATATAAAAGGATGCAAACTTGAGAGAGAGAGAGAGAGAGAGAGAGAGAGAGAGAGAGAGTACCCGAGAGAGGACATCATTGGCAAGGGCAAGAGCGCTGTCACAGAATCTGCATCTATAAGTTCTGCCATCCATTCTTTATTTTCTGGGATAAGATGTAGCTTTTCCTTGTCATGTGAAAGAAGAATATACAATAGCAAGGTGATGTTGCCGGCTTTGGGGCTCTCTCTTTCCCTCCCTCTCTCTCAAGCCAACCAATATTTGACAACTAATATTATTTATTTATATACAAAACCTTGATTAGAATGTTAATAATAAAAAATTCACAAGCAATCAGTTTCAAGCCTTGAAATTGTCTGTATTGATAGAGAATGTTAACACACATAAAAAGATCAAGAAAAACTCTTGAAATTGTCTGTATTGATAGAGAAAATAACCGTATAGCATCCAGCTCTTATTATTTGTACAAGTGCTTAACTTTGCTAGGGACTCTCTGCATCACTTGAACCAAGACGAGCGTCCAAGTTGAATAACTCAGCTACATCCTCCACTATCCTCCATCTGCTATTGAGACGGGCACATTTAGTTCAATAGAAACCATAAATAGAGACAAAAGTAAAAGATAGCAAGTACCTTTCAAGCACAAACTTTCCTTCCTTGTATTTTTGGGTTTGGTCGTGTGCAATCACCTAATAAAATTCACCATCAGTATTACATGAGATTGGTTTGTGTTCAAAATAAAGGTGGTATTCAGTCCACAAACAGCACTTTACTAACATTGATCAAATACCACATGTAAACTTTGCCTCGAATAATCTTTACCAGTTCAAAGGTAGAGTGGTCCAGGTCTAAAAGTAAATTGATAGCACAGACATAAGAGTGCATTTCAAGTGCCTGATTTAAAAAAATATAGGCTAGCTAAACGTGACACTGTCTAGTCCTCCTCCTACCTACTCGTGCTACCAACAAAGCGGAAAACATTCAAGCAGAAAGATGAAGAAAGCATACATATTTCCAACCAAGAATCTGCCCGCAGCAGCAACAAAATATATCTTCTACAGTATGCAAACCAGAGAGCATTAGCCTCTCTTCATCAGGACCGAGTGTTATGTTCACCCTGGATAGGATTTTCATAGGTCAGATGAGAAGAATGAGGATGAAGGAAAAGCCAATCAACATTTACTCATGGCACTTGAAGTTGAAGATAATATAACATCATTATTTTTATTAGAACGAATGCGGCAGCATCAAATTTATATTATTGTGACCAAAAGGTTGAGAATGGCTAGTATGTACAGTGGTATCGTCCTTCAACTACTGCTTAACATATGATGAATTTTAACAATCAGCAAACTTACAATTTAGAGAGTAAGCGATTCCTATAAAGAAATTGACGCAATATGGCCATTCAAGAATTAATCCATTCGCTAAAGGATATTTGTTCATTGTCTGGCAATATGTCGGCCAGAAAATAACATGTAATTATGAAAGGCAACTAAAAGCAAAGGCTATAATAGCGAAGAACTTACACATTGCTAAACAGATATGCCCTTCTTCGACCACAGTTGAAATTCTAATCAAATTACAACAAAATAAAGTCAAATTGTTAAACACTAAAGCATATTACATTGGCTCTCTGCACACATAAATGAAAAAGCAACAATGAAAATAAACATCTCAAAATATTGAGAATAAGCTCCATGATATATAAGCAACAGAATAAAAATTGAACACAGGAAAACATTACTTAAGATCCATATCTAATGCCTCACTTGTCACTCGTCACAACAACAAAAGTTAATAGTTCGGCCGCAGTCTAGTGACGAAATGCTTAGTTTCTCCACGTATCTATGTGTGTATACATTCTAGTCCTTACCATGGCACTAAGTGGTTTTCTCCCCCCTATTGACCTGGATTTTTTCAGCTTTTACAATCTGTAATATGCAAAAAATCTCAAATCTCACAAAAACGATATTGTACTTACTCCTAACTGTGTTTATTAACTCGGTTAGGTCAACTTGGTTTTCTTCGGGTTTTTTGGCCTCAGTTCGGTGCGGTTTCTCAGTTCTTCGGTTTTTTCACCCACCCCTACCACACCCAATCTAGTCCTTTTACATGTGTCTTTTCTCAGGTCACAAAGCTTCTTCACCAAGAAACACCCCATATTCTCTTAAAAAAAGGCCTTAATCCCAACTCCCAACCCAGAAAAACAATGCTTCATAGAATCTTGTCCATGCAGGACCTGAAAATCCCAATTCACTTTATGCAGGGCCTGAAAACCCAATTTCTAAAACCTTTTTCTACAATCAATACAAACCCATTTCAAATTCCATCAAAGGGAAACAAATTTTCAATCTTTTCCTCCATTCTATCACAAATTAAAGTTGTAATCATGCTTATATCAATCTACAGACCTCATAATATATAAAAAGATGCAAACTTTAGACAGAGAGAGAGTACCCGAGAGAGGACATCACCGACAAGGGCAAGCGCGCTGTCACAGAATCTGCATCTGTAAGTTCTCCCATCCAATTCAATCAGAAAAATTCTCCCCATTTGAAATTTTGATCTAATTCTAACATAAACCCTAACCCTATCACTCTAACAGTGTCTCCCAAATTATTCACTACCAATTATTTTACCAATTTCATCCCCAATTTTGTTAATTTAGTCAAACAAATCAGATCCCAATTCGAATCTCGCAAACTGGGAGTGTTCCCGTTTCAAACAAGTGGTGGCGAATCCGGTGCGTCCAAATTTCCAATCTTTTTCTTTCCCTCCTCCTGTTTCAAACACGTGGGGGCGTGTTCGTTAGTCGTTGTATATACAATCGGGCGACGTGCCGTCCTTTGGTAGATGACACGCCGTTCCTCACGAAATATTTTTTGCGTGCGGCACACACGACTCGGCACAACTTTGTAATTATTATCCGTTGAATTTTTTTCGTTGAAATTTGCAACTAATTATATAATTACATTTATTTAATCGAGTCGTGTGTCTTTTACGTTGAAAAATCTCTCGTTCTGCATTATACCATCTCTTCTCAAACTTTTTTGTCCTTAATTAAAATCAATTTGTTACGAATTGTGTTTTTTGGATTTTTATAAAATAAAGCAAATTATGTTGTTTGGTAACAATCATCTCACTACGATGGATAACTTAGAAAAGAAACGATCTTTCTATTTTTTGTTAAGCAGATATGATCCTTTTTATTTTTTTATTTTACCAAATGTGATGATATTTCCACAATAAAGAAAATGGCAAGTCACTTTTACGTATAGGGATGGATAGAATTTATCTGTCTACGAACATCTCCAAATGAGATGTCAAATTCTAAATGAAAAATATCATTGTGCATAATTTGACGTAAAAAATTATTCTAACCAAAGCGTTATTTGTTGACTGAATATTAAGCTTTTGGGATTAGAAATTAAATTTAAGGTGATTTTTTTAAATTAATTTTAATGCAAATGTGAACAAGTAAAATAACAATATGGGAGGTCGCCTTCTGTTACAAATTGGTGCATGGGACCATCAAACTAATGGCATAATTACAAGAGTAAATTATAGCAATGGTCCTTCACTTTTAATTAAATTGGAGCAATGATTCCTTAACTAAAAATTCATTACCATTGGTCCCTCAACTTATCAAAATGTGTAGCTATAGTTCTTTTCATCAATTTCATCAAAATTTTGTCCAAATAAATTATGTTAGAATAACTATTTATATAATTAGGGTCTCTCAACTCATCAAAGTGTGTAATTATGATCATTTTCATCAACTACGTTAAAATTTTTGTCAAAACGAGTTAAGTTGGAATGACCATTACTATAATTGGATTAAAGTTAAGGGACAATTTCTCCAGTTGAATTAAAGTTGAGGGACCATAGCTGCATGTTTTGATGAGTTGAGGAACCAATGGTAATAAATTTTTAGTTGAGGGACCATTGCTCCAATTAGTTAAAGTTAAGGGACCATAACTACAATTTACTCTAATTACAATTTTGAGGCTACTTTCGTACCACTATATTTTTGTGAACATATTCCTTTTTTATTTAGTAGTTTCTAGATAAAGTTTCTCAATCAAATTTCAATAAACATTAGGCATCCATCTAATCTTTGTTCATAGAGTTGAACGTGAATACTATTTCGGATTTTAGTGCTCAATGTCTAAAGATCAGAAAATTTGAATTCTTAATTTGTGTAAAAGAGATATCGAAGCTTCTTGTTTATGTGAAGTGACTAGTGAAATGAGCTGATGACAACCATCGAATTTACTTTGAGTTATCCGAGTGGTTTAATCTTTACGTGCAAACAATAAAATCCGGATAAAATCTCAATCACAGAGTTCGGTGGTGAGAAAATAAGACATTGAGAAAGTCATATTACATTACGTATCCACCAAGTTGGTGCATGACATCTGTGTCTACACACACACATACACTCTCTCTCTCTCTCTCTCTCTCTCTCTCTCTCTCTCTCTCTCTCTAGATGCTAGAAGTAGAGTACTAAATACACCAGCCTACTTATGATTTGTTCGTCCATAGATGCCATCTCATGGAATTTGATTCTCTCTCCTCTGTTTTTTTATTTTCCTTCCTATTTGAACGGTTACCATTAAACCACTTAATGTATTATATTCATTTTTTATAAAAAAAAAAAACAAAATAAAAAATATGAGAGAATAAGATAGAAGAAAAGAGAAAATGAGAGAATCTTAGTCCATCCCTCACACACCTAACCAGATTTGATTTGCTAAATATTATTATTATTTATTATATGGTTTATTTGTGGTCAAATCATGTCTCCCACCAGATTTTTTTTTAATTTTTTTTTTAATGACAAGAATTAGTCCATGTGATTGTAACATCTAAGTGTCGCGACTCCATTTATTCATTTTATCTTAAGCTTCATCTAAAGATTTTTATTATAATTTTATAATAACAGTATTGTCAATCACGATCAAATAGTCGAATTTTTTGTAGTTTATTTTCCATCGTACACTTTAACGTTAATTTTTTATATTAATATTATAAAATATTATGTATAAAATATAAGACGACAAAGAGTATGGATAGTTCTATTTTTGTGAAAATTTCTTTAGCATTTTCTGAATAGATATAGCCCATATTCCTTCCAATATGGGTCGCATAGTACTATTATTACTACTATTGCTCGACAATTGGATACTACAAAGAATGTTAGGGATTTGATTACAACCTCCTAACAACATTATATATGATATTATGATAGTATTTTGTTTTTATTTTTATTTTGTATTGCAATTTGCAATTTTCATTGTCCAAATAAACTAAAATCAAAATGTTATTTGTAAACTAATCGAGAATTGACATCTATGATTTAGATATCACTACTTTTAATGTAGTTGGCTATCAAATTCTTAAAAATACAAAATTATAGTAACGGAAGGAGCATCTCAACTTATTATAAATTTAAATTAAGTGACATAAAACGTGTGTAGTCATTGAACTTCACATGTGCTTTAACCTAATTATGAATCTATAATATATCATTATAAAAGTTGAGATTTCACTTGAAAGTTTGCATAGTATTCCGATGACGAACATTTCTTTACACCTTCACACATTAATATATATATATATATATGTATATATATCATGCATACATATTCAACGGTTGAATATGCACTCAGATATTAAATAAAAAATTGACAAGTGAATATGATTCACTTCAACGACAGTGCAGTGCGTTCATACAATTAATTAATGTACGTAAAAGGACTTCAAATAGTCGCATTAGTTGCTAAACAAAATCTTGACAACGAAGTCGTAACCCTAAACTCCCACAAATAGTTATCCGAATCAATAACCATTCAACAAAATTAAAGCTACGATACGAATGACATTGACAATGTCAATAACGCGTTGTGTGGCAAATGCATGCTTAAAATAGAAGGTAGCCTTCAATTCAAAATCTAGCTAATAAGGTCATCTTCAATTGAAAAGGTAAACATAGTTCCGTCTAAAATGATAGCACTGTAAAAAAATTAGTTTGAAATGAACAATATCAGGTCATACTCATATACGATCTCCAACAGAATGAGCTAAACATAGCATCCTCAATAATATATTAGTTTTAAAGTTTATACTTTAAATTTATTAGTTAATTTAATTGAACTACTATTAAAAATTTTCAAATCTAACCATTAAATTTGAATTAATTATTTAAAGAGTTGAGCGTCAAAAAGAGCCAAAAGGGGGTTACATTTGACCAGCTTGATGCTCCTTTGGCCAAATAATAGTCTAGTGGACTCCACCAAATTATAACCCAGCCATTTGTTTAAGATAATTTTTTGGGCAAAACAGACATTATTTTCCTTTTGGACCTTTAGCTAAGTTTCAGTCGAGGAGGAAAGATTTTTTAGCTTATCTGAAACACGGGATGATACATCACGTATAACTATATAAGTGATGAGATATTTATATTAAAAAATTAAAACTTGAAAAAGAAAACTTTTATCCACTCATAAAAAAACACGTGATCTACTACTTGTGTTTCAGATACAATAAAAATTTCTGGTCGAGGAGGACCTTGAGGTTAATAGTGGATCATTTTTGTGGGAAATGGAGAAAAGGGGGTTCCAGTTTCACACGTAGGGTTGGGCCCCAATAGGCATACGTAAGAGTGCGGGAGAGAGTCTTGTTTGGTTCTCCAAAGACCAAACTCCAAAGCGCACGTACCAACACAACTCTCATGTGCATGTGAACCTTTTACCGTGTCCGACGGCTTAATTTTATCCAAAATTTCTAATTACAACGACTAGTGTATTACAGGATGATATTTACGTAATAAATCAAACGGTGCAAGAGAGATTCCGTCAAGCCATGTAATAAGTCAATCATAAGTTATAATTAAGTGTTCAAACTTGAAAAACCCTTGCTCATAACCTACATTTTTTACTTAACTTGCCTTTTCATTGCAAAATTTCATTGTCAAAATGCATTCCGAAATTATCCGAGCTTGTTGCCAAATTTTTCTATGTGACAGAAATTAAAACAAGTGGTATCACTACTTTAGGTAATATTATTTTCTTTTTTTGCCTACATATGGAATTTATTAAATTCTAATTGTTAAGTTTACATCCTCAACAAAAATATTGAAGGAAAAAAAATCGGGACCAATGCAATCCCAATTGAACGTTCTCCTAACTAATTGAATGAAAGCTGCCATAACGTGTGTTGATCTATTGCTCTTTTAGTGAGAAAACACAAACTCTACAAATTCCAACACCGTTTACCCAAAAAAAATAAAAAATCACATCAGCCCCTGCTCTTCAATTAATCTTACCAATTAAGTCCTGAACATCCGACTCTATAATCCGCCTTGTAAAACCTTCATAAACATTTCGTACCATAATTTGAGTAAAACACCAATATTATGTGACCGTATTTCAAATACACCGAAAACTTTATTTGAGATTGAGAAGAGATAAGAGAGCGAGAGGGGGTCATCTCAGAGGCAACAAAGTCCACTATGGAGAAAAAGGCGGCAACAGCAGCCCACAGCTATATCCTTTTATTTAATTATTTTATTTATTTAATGCCATGATGTTTGCTTTTATTTTCTTTTATTTTTTATTTATTTTCATTTTTTTGTATTCATGTCACCAGGAGGCAGAACGTGGCGCATCGCGAGACGTTCCAGTCTCTCTCTTTGTTGGCGGGACAAAAACCGCGGGTCCCACACGCGGCAAACAGCTTTGAACTAAAACACGCCGACCCGCCGGACTAACTGTCTGTCCCTTCCC